GACCCAGCACAGCAGAATCAAGGGTCCAAACCCTGAATCCACCTGCGTCTCTGGGCAAGTACCGGTGATTTTGGTCGGCGATTAATTCCCCTGTCCGCCACCTGGGGACGCCCTACGTAGCCTCGTCACTAACCGGCTGGGGATCCTTCAGTGAGAGAGAATCCTCAGTGAAGGAGATCCGTAGACCTGAAGCATCAATCTTTAATGATCTGCATGTTCAGTTTGTGAGATTTCCCACATTCCTTGACATTTACTAACTTAGCGGCTGAAATGGTGTATCCGCAGCCAGCGTCATTTTGGACAGGGCGATATTCAGGTCTTCCCGATACATGCAAATGCAGAGGGCATTCCGTAAATTCAAAGTTCGTGAACGAAAGAGGAGTACAGCGCTGCCGCACAAGCAAAGGAATCAAAGATTATGTAAGTCGAATACATCATCTAGTTTTGAGATGACCGCTGACAGCCAAGCGAATGGATCCCTCGGAGCGTGAAATGGTCACAAAGACGGTCGTCAGTGAGATTTCATCACGAACCCTTGAAATGGAGGAAACAGTTCATGCCGTCCGTCCACTGAACTAGTTAGTGGCTCCCACTCGAAAAAATAGATGATCAGCGGGACAGCAGGTGGAGCGATTAGCTGAGAGTTGGTACAGGTGAGTGCTTACGGTTATATTTATCAATTCATTCACTTTATTGTGTACAACTTTTTCCATAGCTATACGCCTTCCTGAAATGTAGACTCTGACCATATCAGTTTTTTTTTTCAACATATGAGAATGTACGCTATTGTCAGGAAAGTCTTGCAGACTTGCAATCCATCGAGTTTTATTTCACCCATCCATGGTCGATTGCACTTTTGCGTTGCGTTTTATTAATAGCGAGAAAAAGGCGACGTACCCTGCCGACGTTTTCGCATTTTCCTTCGCACAGGTTTCCACAAGAGTTGAAAGTTTCATTAGCGCTGCATTCTGGAAACTTCTATGGATAATTCGTATTCGAGGAAGCGCTTTTTCGAAAATGGAAGAGTTAGTGAAATCGCAATGGAATGGTCAACTTACGCCTTGGACACTGAGATGCTGTCACACAGTCGTTGTTGGCGTTTCTGTAGAAGCCGTCACGGCATGCGCATGCGGGGGGAAGACAAATGAGTGGACAGGGAATAGGCCCCTGAACAAACGTTGCATAACATGGGTTATCTTCACTAAGCATGCAATAGACCAACCCTGTTCACATTTTCACACTTTCCCTCGCATAAGGCTCCACATCCATTCAGTTCTTCATTCCTTCCACACGCTGGAACTGAAAAGGCTCTACTTTTCTGCCCAAATAAAAACGGATGATATCAATGTATCTCTGTCTGCAAGTGCCGTACCTGTTCTGATTTCATGCAACTTGTTTCTGTGTAACCTTATGGGAATATTTTTCAAAGCTCGCTGTGGTTGCAATAAGAGTGCACGCGCAACAGCGGTGCCTCTTATTGCAACCGCAGCGAGGAGCCTCTTTCGAATATTCCCACTACAATTATGTCCTACCTCCAAGGGTAATCCACTGCTGAACGAAGGGCACCGACAAGAGGTTTTTTTTGGGAAAAGCGAGCTTTATTGGGTTATAACACAAGTGTCAGCACTGTGCACGGATCATTCAGTGCGGTTGGAACTTTTTTTAATTCTTCGTCGATAGTCCGTATTTTCAAATTATTATATCAATACCTAGTACAGAACTAAGTTCAAAAAAATGTAGTAATTATTGACCAATTTACACTGGGATTACCCCCAACAGACAGTTTAAAAGCACAGTTCACGGTGAAATGATGATTCTCTTAGGATGAGTCTATGGTATCCATAAACAGCACAAGGGACGTCGCCGTGTCGAAAAATGGCCTAGACTAGGATGCAATAAGGGCTCCACCGGTTTGGACATACACACAAAAATGGCCGTATATGCCGGTCTTGTTGAGACTGCACTACTCACTTGACGAACAGGGCGTGGGATATACCCAGACGGTCACGGGCGGCGATCTTATGCAACTCCGTTTTTTGCTACTTTTTTGAAGCCTTATATTGTTAAAATACGTCTGTTCTGCACCATCCTTCTATTATTCCAAGTAAACTGAATACCTCAGAACTCTTGTGAATAGCGCCTTTAAACAATAACATCTCTTGACCCGCTTTCGTGTCCTACTTACAACTAAAACAGCGCTCCTGTTGGATGCTAGAGTTTGGCGCTAACAGCGGCCGTAAACCTCCTTACTGTGCGGCGACGGAACGTATAAAATTAGATGCTGGCTTCCTTGAAAATTTGCAGCAAGCGGTCTTAACCCCTATAACTTCTACAAGTTTACTTCAGAACCAAACAGAGCCCGGTGATAATGGACCGAACACACTTAGCCAATTACAAGCATTGAGCTGGGACTGACTGTCAAAAAAGGAATCACTTATTTGCTTCAATAATAATACCTGGTGGATTGCTACGTTGATTTGATGGAATAAGGACTTCGTTGGGGACCATTTCTGCAGTTTGTTCTTGCGGTACAACTAAATTTTGCAATACTCTATTTACAAGACGCAAACACACACCTCGGGAAGCTCACCTTGAGGTCCTTGGTTCTTGCATTTAGGCTCCGCGTAACAGGGCTTGTCCTGAATACACTCTGGTTCAGTATACTCACACGCTGATCCTGACGGACACTTTTTTTGATCGCAGTTATTCTCTGAAAATGTGAGTAAATCAAATTGAACAATATGCCTTCATCTCATATAATAGATCTTGGTTAGCAATCCATTTCTTTAAGGTATAGATCAGTACAACACCTGGAAAGTGGATTATGAACACGGCCCTAATCCACTTTTAAGTGTTACAGTTATTCCTTTCAAACTCATTCATCTTTTCATGGACCTTATATCATTTTCAGAGGCTCAAAAACACTGCTTTACCCTAAAGTCTCCACTTGGCTTCGAAGCACTTTGGCAAATGCAGATTGTCGAATTCGATATGAAGTACAGATTTCTCGGTTCAACTATGTGTTTTCAAAGGGTAGATAAAATGATGGAAGAGGAAGCTGTCTGGATAATTGCAGTCATTTTCTCTTTGTGTTAGCTTGGAACGCGATTGCTGGTTCGAGTTTGATATGTTCCAAGGACTTATGCAGAGCATCATCAACTGAACCTGTTGAAAGCAGAGCGCTCAAATTTACGTAATGACGGGCATTCTTGGGAGACGGGCGTTAGGAACGATTTTGGGTAATCGATTGCCGCACGCGGCTGCCGCGGACCACTCATTCGCCGTTATTACAGCTCTAGCGTTCTTCATACAGCTCAATCGATATACGATCATTATTTTATACATGATTCTACTATTAGTACTTTTGTTCCTGTATTTCTTACCTACTGGTGCATCCTACTACATTCCTTCGCGCGCGACGCCCCTCTCACCGCGACGCGACCATTTCGTTCCTAACGCACCACACCCGGCATTCTTTCCTGCGATTGGTACAGCTTTCTTCCGCCACGCATACATGACTCCCAGTTGTCATCAGTTATAGTCATTAGCCCCGAGTCCCTTTCCTCAGGAGTTCATATCTCTTTGAAGAATCTCGAGCAAGTTAGTGAGCCCAATATGATACCAATTTCTGATCAGTGATGGAATCGAGGATCGAAGGTCATCATGAATTTGTTTCTAGGTGAATTAGGAACAGACTTTCTTCATGTGATGTGCTGAGTCGATTTGTAGCTTCTATCTTCTCTGGGAAGTACGTAGAGAGCAATCCACTTTTTTAGTAGGTTGTTGGCCATTCTGGCCAGCAGGAGGCGCACCCCTAGGTGGTGAGTAGAGAGCATTTTGATATCAAGGCACAGTCTATCAATACATTTACATGGAGTGTGGTGCGATTCACGCGTCAATATAATGAGGTCATCGCACAAAAAGCGCTAATACATCATGCCTNCCATCATAACGAAAGAAATAAGAGCCTATAAGTAGAATAAGTAAATAAATGACCAACTATGCACGTTTACAGAAGGATTGCATCTTCTAGGATCGAAGAATTTGAAGTTATTCTTATTTTGAACGTTTGACAAGTAAATTGTTTACCTATGAGGTGAATTCTTAATCGAGAAGGGGCTTTTTTGCCATAGTAAAGAGATTTGTTCTACTCAAGGTGAAACCGTGGACTACTACAAATTTATTTGGTCCATCTCAACAGAAAGGTACTGAATTGAACCCCCCATTTACAAGTGTGCATTTGGCACTTCTTACATGACCAAATAGTATGAGAATTATCAAAAGTTAATTAGAAGCCTATGTTTGAGTGAGCGGGACCTAATAAGCGGAACATCCATTGTACCTCCGATATAGCATGGCTAACAACCTAGTGTTAACTAAGACCTTCTATCAATACGTGACAAACTCGTGTATTCGAAGCCAAAAGGAATGAAATAAATTCAATTTGTAGGAGCCTCTAAAGTGACAGAATGAAGTAGGACAGTAGTATAAGTAGGAGTGTTCAACGTAGAAAAACAGAGTTTACGATGTAAACCGAATGAATCGAAGGAACGCTAACCATCTCCTCGCATCCTATTCTGAGGTTATTGATGTTCTCTATTTCCCGAATTTGTGAGCAATATTCTAGAGCCACAGTCGAATGCGCCCAAAATGACTATTTAAGACCTTTATGAAATTCCCCGTTGTCTTTCACTTCCATCCCAACACTGTACATCTCGAAAGTTTACATGAAGACTGAAAAGTCAGAAGCTGATGATTCACTACAGCCTGCCAAGGACTTCCAGCTAGCTGTCCGAGGTTTGCACAGGATCGTCTCAGCTTGCTTAGTGGTAGTAAAACTAACCTGAGTCTTTAGCCATGCACCGAGCACCTGTCACAGTTTGAACACAAACAGTGCCATACCAGCATAAGTTCCGTACTAAGCATGATTCACCATCCTCACCCGGTGGAACTGAAATCACGATTTGAAAAAAAAAGAATATCAGAAGTTAAGCGAGTTGCATGCGCAACCCCACATTCAGAAAATTCAGAAATGGAAAGGCATTTATTGAATTTTCGTTCCTCCGATGGTTGAAATTTGGCAAGTAGAAGCTATAAATTAGAAGTTTCCTAAAGAATCAATGCTCGTGTCTAGCTTCTATTTTGTGTGGATCTCTTCACTTTTGTTCGAAGTCAGATTTTGGCATCAATCTAGTTATTATGGAGATCGACAAGACACGATTGCCGGTGACGGAAGACATAGTTGAAAAAATTCAAATAGAGTGAAATGAGAAGTTAGTTAAATAGTTCCATTGGGTGACGTTGTCGGAAAAAGTTTAAAGTTTTGGATGAACCATGAAAGACACATGATCTGTAGATTTATTTCGAGATGACTCACTATATGATTCAGGGTGTGTGCCAGCAATGAAGGTGACGAGAAGGAGAAGGAGCTGCAAATTATTTTGCTAATATGAAATATATTAATTAATTATCATGCTTTTATAAATAATTATATTAATTAATTATCATGCTTTTATAAATTATTTTGCTAAAGAACAAAGTTTTGGGACGTTAAAACCGACAGATAACGTAGCAACTCCTTATCTAGCACAGAACACAACACCCAAGAAGCTATGACGTCTCTAGGTGTTTCATCTGTGTTAATGTTACTGTGCAGTCAAGAGAGCTAGTTAAAAGCTGTTTCAATTTTTAAGTGTTTACTCCAATCATATTTACTGTTTTCATGTACCTTTTGTTCAAGAATGCTCACTGAATCCAACTGAGCTACCACCCAATGGATGTTTCTCGATGGAGCAAGGTTAGCACTGCCATATTCTCAAAAAAATGGGACCTGATGTTAATGGGATAATCGTTGGAACAACTTCATTCTAAGTCAACAAAACGGATAACTTCTAATACTTTCACATCTGTCTGGGTTCGATGTCCATGTGAAAACATTTTCGCAATCGATTTGAAATGGGCAAGAGTGGTGTCGAGCAATGGTTCGAAAACCGAACCACCAGTCAGTTTACCAGCGAAAGCCGACTACTGCAAGGCTAAATTGACCGTTTTGCTGCCTGACTCATCAAGCAGAGATTTCCACATTGCCATTCGAAGCTGCCGTTTGAGGGAGTGGCGAAAACGATTTGCAACGAGTCAGACCGAGCCCCTGGCCTGTCCTGATATATTACTCACATAATTCTCAAAATTCCGGGTAATTTCTATTGGATCTAAAGGGAATGCAGAAATGCACAATTGCTCCAAGTGGGAACACATCACTGAACCAGTGAATCAGTTCCTTTTGTAGGTAAAAGTTCGTGTCTGATCTTGTGTCCCACCTCATAGATACGAGCTTGAGTACGGTATAAAATAGATTTTTTCGAAGATGTTAACCTTGGAGTGAAACGAAAGTCTCACCTGATGCATAACTATGCGGAAGTCGAACACCCGAACACCTCCGCTGTAATGCCAAAATCGGCTTTTATAGCGCGACCCCAAAACTCGAGGTCATCAGCCGCGTTCTGGGCTAAGGAGAGTTGTTTTCAAGATCAAACTAGTTTTGCAGAAGGGCCTTATCTGAAGTGAGGGAGGAAAGTGAAGCATCTTAGCGTGGGAACGGGCTCTCATCAGGAATAGTGCCTACTGGTTAGGTATCCAACACCTTCAATACCCAGTTCATACTGAGAAAAACCGGCTTGGTCATTCTCCACCATCATTCGAAGGCCTTGAAAATCTGCAGCGGCAGCAACCATTCTTTCTTTCACTCTCATTAGTCCAGATGATTTTGCAGACAACTCTTGCGTCAATACCATCGCCAATTGCGTGTGCTACCATAATTAGTCGCATCGTATCGCCAACATCACTCCATAGATTCAACG